GGGTGGGCAGGGGCAGGGGGTAGCAGTGCTGGGGAAGGAGCTGCCACCTTGGCCATGTGATTTTTGGGGTGGGAATGCAGGCTGAGCTGTTGGGGCTGTGATGGGGACCTTGGGCATGGTGATGGCAAGGAGGCAGCCCTATGCCCAGGATCCAGACCGCATGGATGCCTCCTGCTCTGTCACCTTGGGCCAGGCCTTTCCTCTGCCTCAGTTTCCCTGTCCAATCTTGCGGGCAGATGTCCCCACTGATCACCTTCTGCCTGATACAGCCCCAGGGAATGGAGGGACAGAAGTGGATGAGGGCTGGGGCCAGGGTGCCCTTGGGGAGCTGAGCCTTGTCTCCACAGAGCCCTTGAGCTGCCCTTGGGCACTGCGTCTCCCCAGGGACAGCAGATCGCAGTGAGGAGTCCCTGTCCTCAGGCGGTTCCTCCCACCTGAGGCCCGTGTCCTTCAGAGTCCTTGGCGGGGTGTAACCCACGGGAGTGTCCACGTACCTGCTCCCCTCCCGCCAACCCATCCATGGGGCTGCCAGTACCTGCAGCGAGGACCATGCTGGTTGGGCACCCTGCCAACATCCTCTGCTGGGCCTTGCTTGGCGCGTGATGCTCCTGCACCCACCAGATCCCAGCTTCGAGGTCACTGCCAGTGGGCTGGCTGGCAGGCATGGGCATCTGGAGGGGACTCCTGGTCCCTTGTCCCTGGGTAGCACCTGGGCTCACAGCCTCGGTTTCCCATGCTGGCTGGGGATGATGGCCATGAAGGTGAGGCTGGAGCCCTCCCAGCCAGGGAAACTGAGGCACAGGGCAGTCTTGGTCTCTGTATGGGGGCACAGCCATTTCAGACCAAGGGCTTTTAAAATTACTTTAGCTGTCATTTTGGGATCAGGCTGCAGCATTTCCCAGGGTGGTGTCCAGGGTCTGACATCGGCCTGTTTGTTCCAGGCAGAGCGAATCCAGACCAACTGGGCCATGCTGTGATGCCCCACCCTATTGCCAAAACTTTCTCAGTCTCAGGCCCTTGAAGATCTCCTGTCTCATCCTGTGGTCCACCTGTCCCACCCCACGATCCTCCTTTCCCAAGCCCTCTTGGATCCCATCCAATCCATCCCATCCCAAACCTCTATCCCTTGATCCCATCCCATGATACACCTGTCCAATCCTAAATCCTATTATCCTATCCCGAGTTCTCCCTTCCCTTCCCTTCCCTTCCCTTCCCTTCCCTTCCCTTCCCTTCCCTAGTCCCGGGAGCATTTGTGTATGATTTGTCCTGCCTTCTGCCACCTCCGGGATGCCTGGAGCTGGGGGTTTTCCTGGAATGGCAGCTCCTCTTCCCCTTGTGCTCCCATGGGACTCAGCTGCCCGGGGAAGCAGTGGTGAGGGTCAGCTGCCCAGGGAAGCAGTGGTGAGGGGTGGGACGGTGGGGCAGCAGAGGATGTCTTGGGGCAAGCAGGCATCACCCCATCTCACCTCTTCCCCCAGGAACATGACATTGAGACCCCCTACGGGCTACTGCACGTGGTCATCCGGGGCTCGCCCAAGGGGAATCGCCCAGCCATCCTGACGTACCACGATGTGGGCCTCAACCGTGAGTGCTGGTTCCTGGGCCATGGGGCACAGGAGCGGGCGGGCGGGAGCCTAGAGCTGCACAGGGTGCCAGGACATCGGCCAAAGCCCCTCCTCAGCTCCTTTGCCTCCTCCCATGGAGGGTCCCCAGGCTGCATTTTGTCTCCCCAAGCATCTGAAAGGACCAGGAGCATTTGGATGCTCAGCTGAACCCAAAGCCCAGGCCAGGCACAGCCAGGAGTGCTTGGTCACCCCGGTGCTGGCTGTCTGCCTGCCCACGCCAGGCAGGGACGGGATGCAAGGGGATGCCGAGTTGGCCCCCGCCACTGCCGCTGGCCCCTTGGTGTTCAGAGCACGGATGCAGCTGGCAGCAGGGTGCAGTGGGGGTGAGGGGGAATAGCAGGGAAGGAGGGACCCCGAGCCAGGGCTCTGGATGTGGGGATGTTGCACTCTCTGTTAGCCTGCAGCCTTGGACCTGCCCCCCAGATCCCTGCCGCAAGCTGTGTCCCCCAGCTAAGCCAGGATACCCGGTGCCCTGTGAGCAGGGAGAAGCATCTCCCCCTCCACTGACGGCTGAGGCTGAGTCACCGGCGTGCTACGTGAGCTGCCTCACCATCACAGCAGCATTCTCTGTCCAAGGATGCGTCGTGTTGGTTGCGATGGACCTTACAACCTGCCTTGCCCCCACGTTTTAAGAGGGATATCCTGGCACTGATGTCATGGGGCAGGAGCCCTCCAAGCCCCAGCAGTGGCTGTATCCCACTGCAATGGTGGTGGCCTGTCGACAGCAGCACTGGGGCTGTTTCTTTGACCGTATCCAAGCAGGGAGATTTGCAGCCATTTCTCAAATCCCATGTGTGCTTGAGCTCTTTCTGGAGATTTTGGATAGGGCGGATAATACCCTGGACTACTAATCCTGATACTCTGCACTTTGCATCCCCCAGTCCCATCCCTCCAAGCAGACGAGGCTCACCCCAAATTCCTCATCCTCCTGGCTGTGTCCATTCATTCCTGTGCCTCCCAACACCAGCAGGGATGCAGCCCTTGCTAACAGTAGCTGTGGTCTCTGCTGTGGGGACGAGGAGCCTGGGGGGAAGAGGAGGGAAGGGCTTTGGTGGCGTGTCACCTCCCGGCTGAACGGCAGTGGGAGGGCAGGTGACCTCTCTCCATGCTCCCCTGGCCCACCAGGCCCCTGTGCCGGGGCCTTTGGTCTCTGATCTCTGTTTCTCCTTTGACAGACAAGCTTTGTTTCAACACCTTCTTCAACTACGAGGACATGCAGGAGATCACGAAGCACTTTGTGGTGTGCCATGTGGACGCGCCGGGCCAGCAGGCAGGAGCCTCGCAGTTCCCTCAGGGGTAGGAGCCAGCTTCGGGGGCTCGCTATGCCCGCTGGGATGTCACCTCCCTGCCCGCTGGGTTGTCACTGCCTGGGCAGTCGTGCCTTGCCTGCAGGTCTCTCCAAACCGTGTCAAAGCCCGTGGCAGCCGACTGGCCCAGGGTGGGCAACGGGGTGGTTTGTGGGTGGGTGGCATTTCCCTGCCCACTTGGGGCAGCCCAGCTGCCCTGTCCCAGTCTCCCCTCGCTGTGTGGGTCCTCTAACCTCCATCCTGTGCCTCCCTGTGCTGCAGGTACCAGTACCCATCCATGGACCAGCTGGCTGCCATGTTACCCAGTGTGGTGCAGCATTTCGGGTGAGTCAGCCTCGCCTCCATGGCTGCCAGCTGAGGGTGCTGGGCAGGGAGATGGGCAAGAGGCAACGGTTTAGGGCTAGAGGAGTTGTGCTTGTAAGCTGGCAACCTGAATGTCTTCTTGTGCCCCGTGCTGTGGGTGGAGGGGTGGCCCAGGGAACCTGTGCTGGAGCCCACCGTCCCCCCATACGCACCTCTCTGCTTTCCAGGTTCAAGTACGTGATCGGGATCGGTGTTGGGGCAGGAGCCTATGTGCTGGCCAAGTTTGCGGTGAGCCTGGGGCTGGGCTGGGCTGGCCCTGAGTTGACCATACCTGCTGTCAGCTTGGGGCATGGAGCACAGCAGAAGCTGACAGCCTTGGGCAGGCTGAGCTGCTGCAAAGGCTCCTGGAGGGATGAGGGGGCCGGGACGGCAGTGCCGTGGCCATGGTGGCTGGGCAGTCTTGCCACAGGTCTCCCATCACTCCCAGGACAGGGACGCATCAGCCCCCTGCAATGCCTGTGCAGTGGGCAGCGGTGCTGGTGGGGGGCTGCCCTGGGCACATCTCCCCTCCCCACTGAGCATCGCCCCTCTTGCTCACTGCAGCTCATCTTCCCCGACCTCGTCGAAGGACTGGTCCTCATGAACATCGACCCCAATGGCAAAGGCTGGATTGACTGGGCAGCTGCCAAGGTGGGCAGGGCCCCAAACCCTCCCTCCCGGCCCTGGTGACTCCCTGGGGCAGGAGCCAGCCACAGCAGTGCCATAACTCCCTGTGCTCCCTCCACAGCTCTCTGGCCTCACCAGCACACTGCCGGACACTGTCCTGTCCCACCTGTTCAGCCAGGTAAGGGTTGTGCATCCCGTCGGCCCCCTGCCACCAGCTCCCTGCCCAGCCTCCCAGCTGGGTTGTCTGGGCTGTGCCCTACCCTGCCTGCCGGGTGCTGCAGTGCCACTGGACCTGCCCCATGCCCAGGGATGGGGTTAGTCAAGCCCTGCCTGGATCCCTCCTGCCTGATCTGGGGCTTAGCCTTAATGAGTGTGCGACTCGTGCCCGTGTCCTGCCTGGGTGTGCTGCCTGCAGCACTGCTGTGCCCAGCTGCATTGCCCAGCATCCTCCCCCTCTGCCCCGCTGACCAGCACAGCATGGGCAGGCTTGGGGGAGCCGGGTATCTCTGTGGCATCCAGGAGTGCCTGCCCTGATCTCCATCCCCTGCCGGCACAGGAAGAGCTGGTGAACAACACGGAGTTGGTGCAGAGTTACCGGCAGCAGATCGGCAGCGTGGTGAACCAGTTCAACCTCCAGCTCTTCCTCAACATGTACAACAGGTGAGCACCCCGGGTGGCCCTGCCAGCGGGCTGCCCCGCTGTCTGTGCCAGGACTGCAGCGCTGCTGGGTGGCCCCGAGGTCACCATGGGAACCCTGACCCCTGTTGGGTGCTGCCATCACCCGCCGGCGCAGGCAGGCAGCGGTGCAAAGCTGGCTGCTGGTGCTGGCTGGGGATGTGGGAGTGATGGCACCTGTGCCAGAGCCTTGCCATGTCCCAGAGCCCACGGCCGTGGGTGCACGTCCCCTGGTCTCCTCCTGCGCTGGTTGCTGGCACAGGCCTGGGGAAGGGGGCAGAGATGCCGTCCCATGCATGCAGGGGGTTGGGAGCCTTCGTGCTCCGCTGGGTGCTGCATCCCACGGTGTGGAGTCTGCTCGGGTCGTGGGAGAGATGGCTGTGGGGTCCTCCATCCACAGGGTGCTGGGACAGCAGGGCTGGGTGCTGCTTCCTGGAGCTGGCGGTGCCCCAGCTCTTGCACTGTGGCATTGATGGCGGCACCTGCCCGTGGGCTCACACTGGCCCTCTTTCTCCTCCATCAGCCGCAGGGACTTGGAAATCAACCGGCCTGGGACTGTGCCCAACGCCAAGACGCTGCGGTAAGAGTTGCACCGGCGTAGCATGGGGGGGGTCCCAGGGCAGTTGACTCCACCCAGGCCAAGCCTTGACTGTGCCCCTTCCTCCTCTCACTTCCAGCTGCCCCGTGATGCTGGTGGTTGGAGACAACGCGCCTGCTGAAGAGGGGGTGGTGAGTGCTGGGGCAGTGCCTGCGGGGTGGCACGCAGACGGTGCCCATGCACGGTGCTCTGCTCAGAGATCCCATGTGAGCTCCCATGTGTGGGAGCGTGCTCATGTGCAAATCCACCTGCTGGTGTGGGCACACGTGCACATGCATCTGTGCATGGTTGCCACACCTGGAAAACCTCCCCTTCCTCATATGCCCAGATATGCTCACAATGTGCACACTTGGATCTGTTGGCACACTACCTGCTTGGCCATATAGAGTCATAGAATCGTTTAGGTTGGAAAAGACCGTTAAGATCATCGAGTCCAACCGTTAACCTAGCACTGCCAAGTCTGCCACTAAAGCATGTCCCTAAGCACCACGTCTACACATTTTTTAAAAGAGATGGGGACGCCACCACTCCCCTGGGCAGCCTGTTCCAGTGCTTGGCAACCCTTTTGGTGAAGGAATTCTTCTGAACATCCAGGCTAAACCTCCCCGGGCATAACTTGAGGCCATTTCCTCTTGTC